CTAACTTTCTATACAAAAATATTATGGAAATTTAATCTAGGTTTGTGCACCATTAAAGAGGGAACCCAGATCTTTAGGTTACACTCTATTTTGGAGTTAACACCTCAAAGAAAATGCAAGAGGGCATGGTTGGACAGGACAATAATAATCCCACCTTTGCATAGTAAATCAGCTTCATTTAGTCAAACATGTTACATGTATGTCCATTTAAATAAGGTCTGAGGAAAGAAGTGGAAAATCAATGAAGTTAATGAGGGAAGAAAAGTCATAAGGTTGTTTGAAGTTCACGAAGAGACAAACCAATACTCACTAGCTTCTCTTATCAGAAGACAAACGCCACACATCCTATCAATTCAAACATGGTCTCATCCTATCCCAGCCTGAGGAACAAAACAGTTTTTATCTTTTCAGTTTAGGAATGTTAAAAGCTATCAATTAATCCATACAGCAATAGGATCAATATTCTAGTCTGCAATGGCTTAAAAACATCATTTAAAAGAGGGAAAAATAAGTAAATTAAAATACAAAATAACTATGTCAATTAGCAAGTGAAACAATACTATAAAGTTCATGTTGTGTGGCCCTCATTACCCCCCCATCTGATGCTATCAGAACTGCACAGCAGACTGATATGCATCATATGATGAATTTTTGGTTGTTAAGGGCGTTGTGAGAAGAAATATGAACAGACAGCATATGCCACTGAAGTTTATCATATCTCTCCTCTTTAGTATGAAATGGTGGGATACCAAGTGAATGCAATTAGTACAGAATAGAAAACAGACTTGTCCTTGACCTGCTAATAAAAAAATCCACAGCATTTTGAGACATAGAGAAGTCCTCCATTTGCAGTCTCCGAATGGTATCTATTATAACATTGGCATAAATTTCAAGTGATGCTGAAATATTTAGATAGACCTATTCTAATTCAGAACTCCTAAACCTGGCAAAAATCAATTCAATACAGACTGGAAAGGGGATTTCCATTCAGCACAACACTATGTTTAGACTTTTTGATCCTGCCCTGTTGATGTTTCCAAGTAAAATACATAGGAAAGTTAGGTCTGCATGAATTTGGACAGGGTTGTATATATTTGCTTAATGAGAGAAGTGAAGTAAACTGAGAAGAATGTAAATGGACCACTGGAATCAAAACTCCCAAAGTACAAATACCATACCATGTAGGAGATGACACTTTATGAGCAGAGGTCCCACACATCCAAAACCAGCCATCCTTGAATTTTACCTAGTTTTTAATGCAGCAGAGATATTAAAACTCCAATTACAGTTTGTCATATTTCCCACAAAAATTGCTTTTATGTGGTGAGATTTGCAATACATACAATACGTATAACCAATATCAAGAAAAGATATAAACTTCCATACTTTTATATTTTTATGAATTACTGTAGTGCCTGAAAAACAATATGCATCCAGAAAAGCATCATCATTAAATGTTAAAGGGGCTTCTAACAAAGGAACACTCTCCATTGGCATTTTAGGTGGCATTTTAATGCATACCTAACAATCTTTCAGCTTCAAATTTACAGTAAGATTGGAAAACATATTAATAAGAAAATTATCCTTTCAAGTCAGTTGATGATCATGGTGGAGTTGATGAGATGGTGGAGAAAAAATTCCATTCAAAGTTTGTGAATGACAAAGGAGATGCTCCTGGAGCCTGGAACAGAATAACAGGATCATACGGATTTTTAGGGAACTTCTTAGGGTAAAATATAGAAATAAAAGTCAATAATTTCTGTCCCAGTTCTGAGGAGGGTGAAATGCAAAATTGTCTTCCATTAGTGTCATTTGCTACCAATTTATGTGAGCAACCTTGACATTTTCTATAACAGGGGTGTCAAACTCAATTTCATTGAGGGCCGCATCAGCATTGTGATTGCCCTTGGGGTGCCAGGTGGGTGTGGCCAGGGTGGGTGTGGCCTACTGGGTGGGCGTGGATGGAGTGGGTGTGGCCTACTGGGTGGGCATGGCCATCTCTACATCGTTCGTGTCAAGGGTGCCTGTGGGGGCCTGGGCAGGAGTGGGAGAGATCTGAGGGTCTCTGGCAGAAGGGGGTGGGACCGGGGCAAGCGCCAAGGCATGGTCCATTTCTTCATTCCTCACAAAGGGTGACACCTCCCCAGCATGCACCCAGGGGGCGGGGCCGACACGGCAGGGGCTGGTTCCTCGCTGTTTCTAGACGGCCTTGTAGAGCTAAGACTGAATGCGTTTCAGCATAGATGGCCACCACAAAATTGTACATTGGCTCCCAGCCAGCCTGGGCCAGGGCCAAGGCAGTGGGGGCCGTTCCCTCACTATTTCCAGGATGGCTTCTCAGGCCACATGAAACCACTTCGCGGGCCGCATCTGTTTGACATCTGTTCTATAATAAAGATAGGAATATGTTCTAGAATGTATATAGGTGCAAGAAGACATTTGGTCAGTAACATATAAGTGTCTTTTAATCAAACCATTCAATTCTGTGTGATAAATGGCATGGAATTTCCATAGTTTGCTGAATAATCTTTGAAGAGAAGTGACTTCCATTGTGTGAGCCAATACTCAAAATAGGCAGTCCAAATCTGGGAATAATTTATCTCAACACTTTAGTCAGTCTCTTAGACTTGTTAGTTCTAGTAGGAAACACAAGAATATGTCCAGGCCTCTGCCTGATTTAGCCAGACTATTGTGTTTTTTAAACACAAGATTCTGTCAAGACTCTGCCCATTTCTCAAGCGTAATAAACTCAGCAGTTTGAAATTACTGCAACCAGCAGGAAGGAAATACGGTTGTTTCAGTTTTTTTTCTTTTGAAAGGCATATACCTACATTATGAATTATTGTTTTTATGGAAGTCTTTTAAAACTTCTAACATTGTTCTCTTTCCAGAAATGACTTTTTAATGAAACTTAAAATAATTCCTTGTGCTTCATATTCTCCATGCTACCACTTTCTTACTTTTCTCTAATGACTTGTCCATTCCTGATGAGACAGTTCTCATGTCTTATATTCACCTTTCCCTGCTCAAATGTCATTAAGAATATTCTGATAGTTCCATGCTGGAATATGTGTGTTATTTTCTTTTATAAATATTTATGGTAATGTTATATTTAAATTGTGAATATTCAATTTATTTTTCCAAATTCAATGTCAAAATTCTTGTATATCACCATGCTTTTTATATCTCAAAGTTCATAAAATATACCTCTATATTCATGTCTGCAACTAAAAAAGGATGTGTGCTAATACAGGGGTCCTCTATACCCAGGCCACAACCCACTACCGACCTATGGCGTGGTTCAAAACCAGGTGTGGAAAAGATGAGCAATTGCTTGCATAAAAGCTCCACTTGCGTGAGCAGAGGGCACTTCCACTTCACTTGAATGGAGCTTTGCATGGAAACGCCCTCTGCTTGCGCAAATGGAGCTTCATACATGAGCCCAAACGTCTGCCACTCGTGAGTTGAGCTTCGCACGAGAGTGAGCACCATCCATTCGCGAGCAAAATTCTGTGTGAATGGAGGGTGTGAGCGCCCATTTGCATAAACACAGCTGTGCACATCTGCATACGCCTGCTACTCACACGCCTACCCACTCATGCTGGGCTGCCAAGCTGGAAAGGTTGGGGTCTGCTGTGCTAGCAAATTAAATCCCTTACTTGCAGAGAGGCCACATTATCCACATTTTAAAACTTTCTTAACTTCACCGTGTTTTTATACTATACATCAATAAACATAATAATTTATACTTTCTTCTATGACTTGTTGTTCAAGAGTGAGAAATAATGAAATGTATGCCACTGAATTATGACTCAGAGTTTCTGCATGAAACAAGTTCCATGAAAAGGCAGTTCTCAGTATTTGAGGTTATTTTGATGATGGTTTTCTGTTATGCCCCCGTTGGAGCCTGAATCTGCGGAGGAAGATGAGCCGGAGCTGGAACTGATGGAGATTGAGGAGGAGGAGGCGTTGGCTTCAGAAGAATATGTGGAAGAGCTGAGGCCTTTCAGGATTGGGATGGCTTGTAAGCAGGGAGGAACAGGGGCAGGATGACCAAGAGAGGCTAAGCAGTGAACATGAGAGACAGAGCTCAGGCAATGAGCAAGGACCACCCGCTCCTGATCCTTGAGCAAGGAGAGTGGGGAGAAGGCAGGAGCAGTGCAGGCTGACCCGACTACTCGGGAGGAGAGTGCCCCGCCCCTCTCCACAAGGCTTACATGGGGACTGAGACTTAAGGAGACGCTGTGGGAAGGGGCATTTGTTGGGAACAAACGCTGAATTCAACGAAGGTTGTGCGGTGTTGCCAACGTTGGACATTTCCTGAACTTCTTGCTTCCTGGATTAATTGTCATGTTTCTTTGCTTCCAGGATTGATTTAGTCCCTTGCCCTGCTGGATTTCTTGTTTTGGCAGCTGTTGTGTTCATAGCTTTGTGCTGGACTACTTGCAGCCAGAGGCTGCTGGAGATGTGTGTGTGTGTGTGTGTGTGTTTGTTTGTGTGTGTGGTCACTTTGCTCTGGGACTTGCCAGAAACGCAGGAGCGTTTGGGGAACATTTGGAACAATAAAGGGGTGGTTTGAACTCTCAGTTGACTGTGTTGCCTCTGTGCAGTGCCCCGGGTCATCACAGTTTTCTCTCAAAAGAAGATACTATTCTTGATGACTTTGATCCGAATATGTACATCTGAAAGTGAACTAAGATGCATATAAGGGTAATCAATGGCCACTCACGTTGTTAATGCAAATTAAAAAAACCTTCTCATATCTCTGCAACACATCACATTCCAGATTTCTCTCATTCATCTTATTAGGAAGCATTTACTGAGTTATAACAGAGATTACCAATGGCACTTTCATTTTATTCCTTAAATGTCTTTTTTCTTTTTTTTATGATTCAGATGTTTGTTAGCATAAATCGCATATAGAGAGTTAAATGCATCTTAGTTAGTATACAGTCACAGATTGCAAATTGAGTTAATTTGACAAAGATTAGACATAACTGATCTTCATAATGTACTAGATTTATTGGTTAGAATAATGACATCCATGTTATTTCAAAATATTATACTTGAATACGTATATGTGCACCCCTAAGTATGTGTATATACTGTCTAAAGAGAACATTTTACCAGTCTCACAGATGATCCAAATAGACCATTAAGATGTACATATAAATTAAATAAAACTCTATACACAGAGCTATTCAAAACTGTCAATATCAGTATTGGACAACATTTATTTCACAGTTACTGAACTTTTCTTGAATGAATCTATTACTTTAATTCCTTCAATTTTTTTTAAGGCTCCTCCACGAATTGGAAGCTTTTTCAGTGCAAGATCTGTATCAGCTAGTGGCCCTCCAATTAATTCAGAAGGTGTACTTTCCACTGTTACTAAGCGACCGGATGCAACCTGCAAAAATAAAAATGTTGCTCAATATACTAAAAAAACAAAAACAAGAGTTCAGTTTCATTTCTATTTTCCAATCTGACAAACGGAGCTTTTAATAAAATATATTCTGAAAGGCAAAGTTTGATTAAATTGGCTTTAAAAATATTTGTTTCTTATTCATCATTCTACTACATTTTTATTTCAAAAACATATCCTTATTTTATAGCTCAGGTTTGAGTTATTCAGATTAAAAGTGTATTATTTATATAAACATAATTTATAAAGTTACTAAAAAGTAAAGTGTCATTAGTAATATATAGACCAACAGATAAGAGATAGGATAGCCAACTCTTCATTTGTGTATTCTATTTGCTAAAATTCAGAAGACTAGTAGGTTTTGTTGTTACCTGTGCTTCTCCCTACGTTACATGTATTTCTCCCTATGTCTTTTTTGGACTTCTAAAAAGTGCTTCTTCTCACTCTAGTAGTATCTTTAGTTAAGACACCGATCAGCATGATTTCCTCACTCTAATAAAGGAAAGTAATAATAATAATAATAATGATAAAGTTGGAAGGGACCTTGGAGGTCATCTAGTCCAACCCCTTGCTCAGGCAGGAAACCCTTACCATTTCGGACAAATGGCTGTCCAGTCTCTTCTTAAAAGCCTCCAGTGTTGGCGCGTTCACCGCTTCTGGAGGCAGGTTGTTCCACTGGTTAATTGTTCTGTCAGGAAGTTTCTCCTTAGTTCTAGGTTGCTTCTCTCTTTGGTTAGTTTCCACCCATTGCTTCTTTTCTTGCCTTCAGGTGCTTTGGAGAATAGCTTGACTCCCTCTTCTTTGTGGCAGCCCCTGAGATATTGGAACACTGCTATCATGTCCCCTCTCGTCCTTCTCTTCATTAAACTAGACATACCCAATTCCAGCAACCGTTCCTTATATGTTTTGGCCTCCAGTCCCCTAATCATCTTTGTTGCTCTTCTCTGTACTCTTTCTAGAGTCTCAACATCTTTTTTACATCGTGGTGACCAAAACTGGATGCAGTATTCCAAGTGTGGCCTTACCAAGGCATTGTAAAGTGGTATTAATACTTCACATGATCTTGATTCTATCCCTCTGTTAATGCAGCCTAGCACTGTGTTGGCTT